ATTAAAATTGAAGTATAATTACTTTTTATTTTAGTTAAGTGAAATCAAATTAGTTTTACTTATCACTTAAATATACATGTATTTTCATAATATTTAATTACTCTTTATTTTAGTTAAGTCAAATTAGTTTTATATATCGATTAAATATACATGTATTTTCATAATATTTATCAAATTATATGTTGATTTCTAAAAAATATTAGAAATTTTTAAATTCTCATGAACATATATATATTTTTATTATTTTTAAAATATATTTTATGTTATTTAAAAATATATATTAATGTGGTATTACTATTTTGTGAACTTTCCTTTTTAATAAAGTCATATTATATATATATTCGTTTTTAAATTTGTTTTAAAATTTTAGAAATATTTCCTTTTTATTTTATATGTTATTTGGAAAAAAGATAAAAAGTAAACTAAATAAAAAAATTAATAATAATCTTAAAATCTAACAATTCATTAAGGGTATCTATGTAATCAACCATCGCGAGAGTTAACGTGAGCGCGACACGTAGGAAACTGACTTCTCAAATAATATTATAGAGATATATGGTGGTCCACACGTAAAAAAACTTCACATAAAATAAAAGTCATCTATCATTTGCTATAATTATAGAACATTGTGATCAAAGTATGTTTATGTTTATGCGAGCCTTTTTGCAAGAAAAAAATATGTTTATGCAATTATATATTAGGATCTAGTGTAATTTTCGAAAAGGGTCCCTAAAAAACTAGATTTTGGAAATGGCATTGATTGTGTATGTCCTGTAGAGTTAAAACCTAGGGTGCGCACCTCTGCAAGAGACCTGCGGGCTCGTGTTCTTTAACTTAGCTTGGATTTGTTGTACAAGAATTTTGTTGTCTGTTTCGAGATATATCATAGCTAGCTTGTGACTTGTGCGGTCACGTGTCTAGAGAAAGTGAGAGGTTAATCTTCCCTTCGCCAGATGCCAAATTATCCTGAAGCATATGACTTTGATGGCAAAGCAAAGGTGCTTGTAAGTTTGTAACCAAGTGGTGGTGTTAGGTTTTCGGAGAGACTATGTGACTTAATTTTAAGGCCATATTGGGCTCAACTTCATTCAACAAGCACACCAATTTTCTGTGTGCTTTATTTGGTTTGTAATTGTAAGGATGGTTATGTGTTCTTTTCTCTAAACAAAGTGAAAGCTATTAATCTTCAAGATTATTAGCTAGAAACTTATTAGAAAATACGTAATCTAGATTATACATGATAGTGTGTAACAACTAACAAATTATTTGACTAGTGAACCAGACGGTTCATAAATTTCAAACTGAATTAACATGCGGGACCGATCTAACCGATAGAACCGACCGGTTCAAACCGAAACTCGATCTCTGAGTTTAAAGACAGGAAAATTCCCATGTAGGCCCATAAAAGCCTAACTAAGGGTCTGACTGGTTGAAACGCGGCGGTTACAATTGCGGTTGCGCGAGTTTGCGGATGTGGGTGGTTGCGGTTTCTAGCGTTATTAGGCGATTTGTACGACTGGTACAGCGATTAAAAACTGGTGCGTTTGCGGGACATTTATGACTGGTTGATTATGAGATACTACAGCGGTTCAATAATAAATTTCCAATATTAACAAATTATAACATTATAAAAATAGCAAAACATACTGTTATGATAAAA